TKKKRGGKKGWTTCCCCATCAGTTRTGGGGTGATCTCCATCAGTAGYGGGGTGATTTCCCAGCTGCAGCATGGCCTCCATCATGGATTACAAATGATATCAGAGCCCTGTGGAGCTGGTGGAATGGGGAAATCCAACTCTTGGGAGCTGTAGGGTTTTCCCATGATAAATCATCCTCTGGGATGGGTCTCRGCATTGCCCTGAGGGATGGGGAAACTGAGGCACGAAGGGTGCTGTGGGGTTTCCTCTCCTTGCAGTCCCCTTTTAGCTCCAAATATCCCAAATAATCCCTCAGCCACTGCCTGATGCGTGGCACAGACAAGCCAGCATATTGCCACTCAATTATCCATGGCATTCCCGAGAATTCCGGAATTCCCAGCTGCTCCCTGGGGCTGAAAAACCAGGGGAACCACCATGGTGAGGGGTGCCTGGCCCCGACCCCTGATCCCAATCCCTGATCCCTGATCCCAATCCCTGATCCCTGATCCCTGACCTAATCTCTGATCCCAATCCCTGATCCCGGCTGCCGATCCCTGATCCTGGCTCCTGATCCCTACCCCGATCCCTGATCCTTGATACCAATCCCTGAACCCAGCTCTGATCCAGATCCCTGATCCTGATCCCTGATCCTGGCTGCCAATCCCAGTCCCTGATCCCGATCCCTGATGCCAAATCCCTGATCCCGATCCCTGATGCCAAATCCTTGATCCCAGCCCCGATCCCTGCCCTGATCCCGATCCCTGATCCCAAATCCCTGCTCCAGCCTTGATCCCTGCCCCGATCCCAATCCCTGCCCCGATCCCTGATCCCGGCTCTCCTCCCCTGCTCTGTCGCAGGTGGCAGCGCTGGAGCGGCAGATCTTTGATTTCCTGGGATATCAGTGGGCCCCCATCCTGGCCAACTTCTTACACATCATGGCCGTGATTTTGGGCATTTTTGGGACCATCCAGTACAGATCCAGATACCTCATGATGGTAGGTACCGCCCGGGGATGGCTCAGCCCCAGGGCCGCTCCTGTGTCAGTGGGAACAGCAGCTGTGGCTGCCCCT